AGCGTGAACTTGACGTCTCATGTGTCAATCTTTTTTTTTTGTTTCTCTTTATTAGTAATAATAAAATGAAATAAAGTTAATAACATGCAGAGAATAAGTGCCAGAAGTTATTATTGCGATCCAACCAAAGGTTAAATAATCAGTACTTATTTAGTATTAAAATATAAGTAGAGATAGTGCTTGAGCATCTAATCATATAAGAAAAGCCAATTACTCTGGAGAATCATCGGATCACTTCACTCTTTGCCTTTTCTACACAAAGAGACAGCTCTTGTGTTCTTGAAAGCTTAAAGCTCTGTTTTCCCCAAAGCTATATGTGATGGGTATTACAAATAGCAAGCATACTTTTCATTTCCATACATCTAAATTGAGAATATACCAATTATTGTCCTTTTGGGTGGTCATTGGAGTTTATTCATTAAGATTTTGCAGTTTTTTTTTTCCAAACCTTTGATCATTTTTTAAATGATACTATTATATTATTTTCTCAATCAAATTATTTTAAGATAAATATCAACTTATCGTTTAATAGTAATGTGTATATAATGTAATAATTGATTTTAATGTTGAAAAATAGTATTTCTAGGTTTCCAAACTAAATTAAAATGAAAGTACAAATGTTTGATAATTTTACGGTGTATTTTCTGTAGCATTTTGGTGTTATATCCACATAATCTATCTATAATTAATAAAATATATACAAGTAAACCGTTGAAAGTTTGGAAGCTTAATCCATATTTTGACCATGTTTTGTAGTACTAGGCTAGCCGTCTTTATTAAAAAAGTACCGCGTAACTACATCTAGTTCAAATTTGGTAATCTCTAATATGAGGTTCTAAATTAGCAAAATCATATTTTAAAGAATTTATAACATTTTAGCCATATTTGTCTTAGGTTCCAAATAATACATAGTTCCAAAGGCAAATAAACTGTCTTTTATGGTTTAGAAAGATTTCTGCCTTGAGAGTAAACTTCTTAAAATAAGGTTAATTCCAAGAGATTTGATTCCAGTTTATTTCTAGGAATAACACAAAGAAATAATCATTTTTGGTAAACAAGATAATCAGAACTCAAACGGAAAGAAATATGTCAGTCTGTCAAATCCATTAAGAAAAATTGATATTCACTTTTACTCTATTTAGAAGGCACGTCAATAATTCAGAAAAATAAACCAAGTGCATGCGATAATGCAAAAGAACACATAAATCCAAAATATCACAAGGTTACAAAGTCAACTTCTAAAACTTCATATTTTCTTCACACGCTTCTCTTTACATTTATACACAAAGTACGAATTACCTTTTGAAATAAGTTGCTAGGTACTTAATATTTATAAGAAAAAACAAAACAAAAAACTTTGGGTTGAAATGGGAATGTTCGTTGAATAAATAAGAAAAAAATCGAGAAAGCAAAAGTAGGAATGGTTGATGATAAGTCACTCCATTCACAAACAATTTGAGCTGGCAATAATGTGATTTCCCAAAATCTCTTTTGGTACCACAATGTTTTAAATCATTGAACATCGGAATCAATTTATTGTATTATAGTATCGTAGTATACAAAAGAAGTTGGCTTCTTCTGATTTGTTTTGGCTCTTCAGTTTTCAAATCCATTGCTTTAAAATAAAACATAATTCGACTTCATAATTATAATCAAAGTGTTAATCTTTGAATTTTAATAATCTAATATTAGTGGTACCATATTGACAAGAAGGAGACAATGTCACAGAAACTTACCTCAGGAGTCAAAACAGAAGAATTGAAAAGAAAAAAGAAGAAATAAAAATTGGATTTTTATATTTGTTTCGACCACTATCAACTCTTTCTCTCTCTTACAAGGAGCGAAAGAGAAACACTTTCCGACTTGGGTAAGGAAAAAGAGTTTGATGGGTTGTTGTCAATCCTTGTTTTCCGGCGATAACCCACTTGGGAAAGATGGAGTTCAGCCGCAACCACTATCTCAAAACAATCACGGAGGAGCTACGACGGCTGATAACGGCGGAAGCGGCGGAGCTAGTGGTGTAGGCGGCGGAGGAGGAGGAGGAGGAATCCCATCTTTCTCTGAGTTCTCTTTCGCTGACCTTAAAGCAGCTACAAACAACTTTAGCTCAGACAACATCGTATCAGAAAGTGGTGAGAAAGCCCCAAATCTTGTCTTCAAAGGCCGACTTCAGAACCGTCGTTGGATCGCTGTCAAGAAGTTTACTAAGATGGCTTGGCCTGAGCCTAAACAATTTGCGGTAAGCTAAAAAAAAAAACAGAACCTTTTAATTTGATTGAATATTTGTTTTCTGAAATCTGTTTTGTTTTGTTTCTTCAATTTGTTTCAGGAAGAAGCATGGGGTGTGGGGAAATTGAGGCATAATCGATTAGCGAATTTGATTGGATATTGTTGTGATGGAGATGAGAGGCTTCTTGTTGCTGAGTTCATGCCTAATGATACTCTTGCTAAGCATTTGTTCCATTGTATGCTTTTTCTCCTTCTTTTATTGCCTCTTGTCTAAAGCTGGGAACTTTAGTAATGTTTGCTGATATTAGGAGCTTGCATTTATGGTTTATGTTAGATGGATGAAAAGAGACTACTTTAGGTGAATTATAATGTCTTAAAAGGTGAATTTTTGTTTCTTATCTTGTTGTTGTTTTGGTTATTCACAGGGGAAAATCAGACAATTGAGTGGGCTATGAGGTTGCGAGTAGGATATTACATAGCTGAGGCTTTGGATTATTGTAGTACTGAGGGTCGTCCATTGTACCATGATTTGAATGCTTATAGGGTTCTCTTTGATGAGGTATTATTATTTTCTTCTCAAGAGTTATTTATTTCGTGTTTAAGAGATGCACTGTCTCGTTGCGGTGCCTAACAAGTATATTGGAATGAATATGGTAGGATGGTGATCCTCGTCTCTCATGTTTTGGCTTGATGAAGAACAGTAGGGATGGTAAAAGTTATAGCACAAATTTAGCTTATACACCACCTGAATATCTAAGAAATGGTAAAGCAACTTGTTTATACTCTATAGATTATTATACAATCAACATAAAACTCAAATTTATAGTTTTTGCACTGAAACTTCTTGAAGCAAAGATGGATCTCAGTGTGATAAATTTTGTGTTGCAGGAAGAGTGACACCTGAAAGTGTTACGTATAGCTTTGGAACTGTCCTTCTGGATTTGCTTAGCGGAAAACACATCCCTCCAAGCCATGTAAGTTCCTATCTTTATGTTTTAGTAGGATGAATTGTACTACTACTAATATGTGTTTTGGTGAAATTATCTTCTCATTGGTCATGCTTTTGTTTTAAGTTATGTGAAGCTCTCGTAGTAGGTCATTGACCATGGTTTCTAGAAACTGTATAATACTGCTCTGTCATCATCTCTCTTGAAATTAGCTAAGATATGTGCCACGCTCTTGTTCTTTAACCACTGTCTATCAGATTTAGCTCTCAATATGTATTATGGGCAAGGTATTAGTGATTCTTGGTTCTTGCATATTTAATCTTGATAAATGTCCATGTCATATAGTATCAATTGAATAAGATTTGTGGTATTATCTTCTTCTCTAGGCTCTCGATATGATACGAGGCAAGAATATTATTCTGTTGATGGATTCACACCTCGAAGGAAAGTTCTCAACAGAAGAGGCTACTGTAGTGGTCGAACTCGCCTCTCAATGTTTACAATATGAGCCTCGAGAGAGACCAAATACAAAAGATCTTGTTGCAACACTTGCACCATTGCAAACTAAATCAGACGTAAGCTAGACATCTTGAAACTCCCAATCTTGACCGAGTTCTTAAATTTCGTCTTTTAAGTGTTAAATATTTTGGGTACAGGTTCCATCTTATGTGATGCTTGGAATAAAGAAGCAAGAGGAGGCACCTTCGACTCCACAGAGACCACTTTCGCCATTAGGTGAGGCCTGCTCAAGAATGGATCTCACAGCTATTCATCAGATTTTGGTCATGACACATTACAGAGACGACGAGGGCACAAACGAGGTAATCAAATGGTAGTTTTGGTTTCAATTGCTAAAATGCTTTAAAAAGAGTCTTGACTAACTTTTGGGGTTTATCTATGGATTTCAGTTATCATTCCAAGAATGGACTCAACAAATGAAAGATATGCTTGATGCACGGAAACGCGGTGATCAATCTTTCCGCGAGAAAGATTTCAAAACAGCCATCGACTGTTACTCACAGGTCTTGATTTCTGGCTACTTCTTCTTACATTTCCGCTCAGTATTAGTATCGGATTTTTGGTTATGGTTAAAGCCAGATTTGCCAAAAAAATTTTGTTTATCTGGATATAGTAGAACTCATATGGTTACATACATTGCTTCTGTGGACAGTTCATTGACGTTGGAACAATGGTATCTCCAACTGTATTTGGTCGGCGAAGTCTATGCTACTTACTATGCGATCAACCAGATGCAGCACTACGCGACGCAATGCAAGCGCAGTGTGTGTATCCGGATTGGCCAACAGCTTTCTACATGCAGTCTGTGGCATTAGCGAAGCTGAACATGAACACAGACGCAGCCGATATGTTGAACGAAGCAGCTCAGCTCGAAGAAAAGAGACAACGAGGCGGCAGAGGATCTTGATTCTTGAGACACAAAGTGTTACATCTTGTTGTAAAATTTGATGAGCTTCAAGAATTCTTTTTAAGAAGAAGAGAAAGAAAAAATACGGTTAAAAACTTGTTGCTGGATTGTTTGATTGGGGATGTAATGTAACCATAGGGAGAGAAAACAATTGAATGTTTGTTTGTATGCAATACATGTTGTAAGTTTTAATGGTCAAATGTTTCGAAAATACAAATTGCTCTTTTCATCGATCATGTTCTTCTGCTCTTCAAACTCAGACTTAACATGGTGTAAGTGGAGTGATTTTGCTTTCTAAATCAATGTTAAGACTCATGGCATTAGTAAGCAAGATTGTACTGATTCTCTTTCGGATAATTTTGAAATCCAAAAGAATCGTTGTGGAAAATTTCGAAAAAAAAAATTTGGTCCATTTCTCGATTTATGCGTGTCATCCTTGCGCAGGGGCCATGCTAATCTCTCTCTGGACTTTTTATTGGTTGTCATTGTTAATAACTTAAAAGGGCCTCTCCCTCTCATTCTTTGTAAGCCCAATTAACATTATTGATCATAATTTTCCCCAACTTAAGAATATAAAGCCTTTTATTTTAAGTAAAAACAAAGCTAGTAAAGCTCAATTTCAAATACATAAGCTTAATGGGGGAATTCATCTCGTTGCAGTCTATAGAAATTGTTTATTTTATTGACATAAATCATAGGACGTTGTATTGAAAGAACAAAAACAGTTACATCTTAAGAATATGTTGACAGAAATAGACTAAAGTTACATCTTTAGGAATGTTTGATGTTGCAGAGCCCGAAGTAGCCTCACTCGTTGGATTTTTCCTTGTCACAAGTCTCGAAACACTGATATATGGTTGAGACAGCAAGCAAGATTCCGGTCGGTTACGAGTATTACCCTCTGTATTTATAGAGATTAGAGACGGTTGAAGACATAAAACCAAATCTGAATATGATCAGGAAAACAAAAACCTATTTCAACAAGGATTTATATGTTATGAACTTTTCCCTATTTGATAATTAGTACAACCTTGACAGATTAAGAGAATTTTTAATTTATTTATTGACATATACATAGAAATGAAAAATCTTTTTTCTTCGGTGCTTCATTATCATCAACTTGGTCTTCTCTGCATCTCTCTTATTTCTTCCTACTTCAATCTCCATATTGGTTGCATAAATCTAGCACAAACTGATATTCAGTTCATAAGCTAAGCAAACTTTTGATTACGGACAATTTCGGATTTGGCAGGTTTGTGATGGGAGAGAATCAATCGATGAGGATGCAACGAATTGGAGACCCTTCTGCTCCAACCAGTCTTAGAGGTAAGCAATGGACAGAGTAGAGTCCTGCCTTCACACCATCCAGCTTCAACCCCTCCACGAGTATAGTCTCCTGTCAAGGTTTTATGATTTTCTCAACCATCAATATCAAATCTACACTGTTTTGGATTCATCTAGTTAGCAAGACTTAAGGACAATAATGCTTGCTTACCCGGTCTTTTAGGAATACTAGGTGGGATGGAATAAGATCATCATATGCAGCTACTGATAGATAATCAATCCCTATATTTTGACATTGATACACCAAAACTCAGCTTAGAGATCACTTCACCAATACACAACCAACAATTCTAAGTCAAAAAATCAAATCTTCATATAAACAAGGAGAACAGAAATCTTCATTACCAACAAGTTTGATGTCTGTGTTGTCTACCAACCATTGCGCACCATCCTTCATGAATCCGACATAGCTTGTATCAAATTCTTTCTTGAACATAAGACGCCTGAAACGTTTTCACTCATTTCAGAAACTCAAAAGCTTATTACTGGTAAGTTCTAGAATCAATACTACCTGTCAGTGTTCAATGTTCTGAAAAGCACACGACTAACTCCTTTTGGAATGTGAAGAGATTTCATCACTTCAGCTACACAATCAAATCAATACAAAGAACAAGATCATCGCCTAAACACAAACTTCTTATTAGCACTCATCACTGTCTTCTAATCACTACCTCACACAAAACTATGAAGTCAATCAATCTAATCAATCAAAGTCGCAACTTACCAGTAATGTTCTTATCCTTTGGAACATCAACCAACAACGCAAGACCTACAAGCAAAATCCAAATCCTTCACCAAATTGAGAAATAATACAAAAATGAAAAAAAAAAAAATGGATTTGTAGATCATACCATTGAGGACTTGAAGATCAAGCGAGTCAACATCAAAGCCAGCATCGTAATACTTGTCATAGACGTGACCAGGTGAATCAACATGAGTACCAGTGTGCGTGGGAATCTTCATTTCAGAGTTATTAGCAAGAGATCCGTTCTTCATACTCGCAGCTAACCATAGGAACCGTCCGATTCCTTCCGATGAGTCCCACGACGGCATCTCCGGAGTGTAACGGTGACTGATGTCATAGATTTTGCCATTCCCGTAGACTTCACGGCGGATGGGTTTAAGTTCATCGGTGAAACCTCCGTCGATAGGAGCGGTTCCGGGAATAGAAGGATAGGCATTGGAAGCACCGGCGGAGATAAGAAGAGAAGGGAGAGAGAGGAGTGTGAGGAGGAAGAATAATGGAGGAACGGCCATTGTTAGGTCACTGGTTGGTGATTACGATCATCACGAAGAAGATGAATTGATTTTGACCATTTTGGGGTTGTTTAATTTATGGGCCTGAATTAATTATAGGCCCAAATCGTCATGACAATTAAAACAGAGCAAATCGTTTCTTGGTGCGAAAGTAACAAGTCCACTAGTTGACACATGCAAGCAAAGTAGCAAACCCATTGTCTCCTTGAAGCATACGATACTAGAATTTCATACCATAAAGTAATTTTTTCCAATAATCAATATAATAAAATATGTAACAATTGCAACCATAAAAGTTGTAAAATTCTTGTTCCTTGGAATTTTTGAGTTCTTATGTTGAGAAAGAAAGAAGAAATGGTAGAACTTAAATGTATCAAAGAATGTTGTATTAGTTTTGTGTTAGTTAACATTTACGTATTCTATTTGTACAAAAAAATTGTGGGTACAATGATTTATTAGATGTTAAGAATAGAGACTCTGTATTTGATCAATGATTTAGAGAGTGACCCAATCCCATCTTCAAGATCTTGAATGCATATTTCTAAGTTCTGCACATCCTCCATTTGTAACGACTTTTCGGATTGGAACTCCATGTCTACTCTTGTGAATTCATTTGCTTCAGCTTCACATGTACCTTTGCTTTGGCTCATCATCTTTGAGACCAGTGACCATTTTCCACAAGCCTTTGATCCGGACATGAAGCTAAATAGACTTTCAAACAAAGCAATTGTTACAGTTTCTGCTTCTCCAAACACAGCCAAAGCGTCGTTTTTGTTTTGGCTTGTTTTTAAACTCTTGAGTACTTTTTCGAATGATTTCTTGAGAAACTTTCTTGAGGCTAAGTATTTCTTGACCTCAGCGGATAGATCTCCACGCTTTCTTCTTACAATCGATTGAATCTCCTTGAGACTCTCTTTCATTTGCGACAAACCATCCTTAGCAATGTTGCATAAGTCCAAGATCTTGATGGATCCATCAAGAAGCTTCTCAATCTGATCTTGAGATAAAGCCTGGTTGGTGACAGATAAGCGAATCATCTTTTCAAGAGAATCATGTAAGTCTTGAAGGTTGCTAAGTCTCTGGCAGATAGAAGATGAAGAAGCTGTCCCAGAAGATCTCAATCGGGTTAATTGCTCATCGACATGAGCGGCTTGAGGGTGTTGCCTTGAAGGGTAGCTGCTAGATCGAACATGGAAGGAGACTGCCATTTTTTTTGTTTGAGCTTTCTTTCTCTGTTTTTGAGATGAAGAAAATGCTTAGATGTTTGTTCTGTCTTCAATGGCTCTCCGGTCTAGACATATATACATCGTTTAAGGAAGGAATCTTATGGTTGTTCAAATCTGAATAATAGAAACCGATGTTTGTGCAATGTCTCCCTCCAACTACTCACCATAACGCATCATCCAACGTACAAAAGCAATATATATGATCACATGGATTATCTACGATTCTGCATCTTATTGGTGTAGTAACATGCACTACCAGCAAGGCTTGTCTCCATAAAGAATATGATATTAGTACCACTCGTGGATACATCAATGTATTCAGATATTGTCTGCCTCCTACACTGCAAAATTTGATTTGTTTCAAGTATTTATGAGGCTCTTGTAGTTGTGTCATGAACTGTAATATACTAATATCATGGTGTTGTTACCATCAACTCCAAGGAGACAAGCCTTTCTGGATTTGCCTTAAACTATGCCAATAAGGTGCAGAATCCGTCGTGCACATTCATTTCTTGTTTTATATTCAAATCGTATTTTGCATTTTGTTTTTGAATGTGAATCACATCATATGTTTATGGAGGGGGGAAATTCATAAACAACGCTAATAGTCATTAATAAGAAAAAATTTCATGAGGTCTTCCAGTTTTGATTGTATATATGAATGGACTGCAAAAGCGATGAATGCAGAAGAAGTAGTTGTCTTTTCTTGTAATGGCCTTTTCTTGTATTCAAGAGACAAAGGCTTCTATATATATAAAAAAATCCAAAAAGTAATCAAGTCGTTTAAGGTTTTCTAGAATAAAGAGAACATGGATGATGAATCACTTGGTTGTGTAATTACAGAGAAGCAGAAGCGCTTGCAATTGCTCTGTTTTCTTCTCTGTTCAAAAGCTTATGAACAAAAACAAGTTTAAATGTCAAGGATAAACATAATTTGCAATATTTAACTATGTGTGTTTAACAGCTTAGGCCACTGAACTTTATATGTATTTTTATAAAGGCATCTCTGAAATACACACGTTGTTACAATAATAAGTCTGAAAAATGTTGGTGTGTTGGGAAACAACAAATATGATAGAATAAAAACAAAATCACAAGTTGTAGTGAGTATGATAGTTCACATGTCAAAATCGAGGAATAAGGATCTTGCTACCAAGGAGACAAAAGCCAAGCTGGTTCTGCATTTTCTAATGAAAACTAGACGTGTAAGTGCAGAGTCGCTCGTGCGGTTGCATTCTTTATAAGATTATTTTGCATTTTATATGAGAATCCATATCTTAATCATATCTTTTTTCTTATTGTTTATGCATTGAGATAAGTGGTTGGAGGGAGACATTGCACAAACATAGGATTTTATGATTTAAATCTGAGCCAGCTTTGAGATTCCTCTTGTCTCTCCCCACTCAAAGGTGTATATATGAGATGACCAAAGAGATTATGAAAGCAGAACAATACATCTTTTAGCTCTTTAAGCCTTCTCAAAACAAAGAAGAAAAGCTCAACAAAAATGGCAGTCTCCTTCCATGTTCGATCTAACAGCTACCCTTCGAGACAACACCCTCAAGCCGCTCATGTCGATGAGCAATTGACCAGATTGAGATCTTCTGATTCAGCCTCTTCATCTTCTATCTGCCAGAGACTTAGCAACCTTCAAGATTTACATGATTCT